CCCAAATCAGAGTGGCACTGAGCTGATCCTGCGCCAGTGGCAGCTCTGCCTGTCCCTGACACCCAGGCCCACATCGTGACTTAGCCATGATTTGTGCTGGGCATTAAAAGAAAAAAAAGAAGCTGATGACGCAAGTGGCTTTTTCTTTCAGGCATTTCAAGCAGGACTGGAGAGTGCATAAGTGCAAGAAATTGCTGGAGAGGGGAGGAGGATTGCAGCTCTTAAATCATCCGGCTCTGCCATGCAGGGTTACACTCAGTGGTGTTGGCACTGTGGAGAAATCACTGCAGGCAAGTCAGGGGGGAGCTTCTGCTCCTTGAACAGGCTTTTTCATCAGAAAATTGAGCAAATGTGGGTTTGTTTGAATGTGAGTTGCTTTGACTTAGGTTTTTAGTAAGTGTTGCAGCATTCCAGTGGCTTAAAATGAAAATATGGCTGGGTTTACAGGTGAAACTACTGCTGTCTGTTTGATTTGATTCAGTTTTCAATCCACACTATCTAAATGACTGATAAACTCTAACCCCGTGGTGTCTACCCCATGGAAACATTAGGTTTTGGTGCTAAAATTCTCATCTTTGATGTTCTCTTGCACAATGGAAACCATCAAATTCCCACTCAAATGAAGCTGTTTGGGGCTGGCTTTGCTTAGGGTACAGTCTGAGTGTGGCACTGAGCTTTGGGAGATTTGTAGATGTGCAGATATAGAAGGATTTAAGGAGTGTCAGAATTTCCTACCTCCTCTGCCTACTTGAACCCTGCTCTTCAGGACCTGCCCCAGCTGGGATGTGTCAAACTGACCTCGGTGTGATGAAGCACAGCAACCTCCATTCACTGGAAACATTCCTCTTGTGAGTGGTTCATGCTCATAAGGCAGAGCTCAAAAAATCTCCCTTGAAATGATGATTTCTCACTGCTCCTACAGCTTTCCTTCAAATCCAACTTCTGCCTGTTATATCTGGAGCTGAGATGAGCCTGAGCCTGCTCCCTGCACTGTGCTGGATTCAGCTCTGCTGCAGGAAGAATGGTGCTGGAAGCCAAGGCACCCAGGAATTCTGCTGGAAAGCCTCTGGATGCTTCTCCCTCTGCACTGGCTCCTTCTGGGAGCACTCAGCTGCAGCACTCAGCTGATTCCTGCACATGTCCAAGCTGTGCAAACCAGCCTGGCCAGGGACAGAGGATTGGGAGCCAATCTGCTAAACAGGGATTTAGCCAAAGGCAGCCCCGAGTGCCAGCCCTCTCCTAATACTCTCTTAAGCAGCACAGGCAGCTGCTGCTTCCTCCCTGGCCCTTCTCACAGTTCACCTCAGTCCTCCAACTGCAGCAAGGCACTTCCAACCAGAATTAGGTTTTGTTGGCTTCTTGCTACAGTGCCTTTTAATTAGGAGCACAGCTGCTCTGGAAACACGGAGCTCACTTTTCAAGGAGTGCCTCTGGAAAGTGATTACAGCGGATTAAAGCGGAAAGGTTAGGCAATTTATTCAGGTGGCACTTAGCAAACGCGTCGGATTATTTTGTGCTGCAAGGATGATTTAAAAACTCACAAGAATAACATCTTTTGGGCTCCTGCTGGCCTTGAGGGACTTTGCTGGCAAGGCAGGTGCTGGAGCTGAAAGCTGGGAATGAGCAGTGCCCGACTGCTCCGGAGCTCTCCACAGTGAGGGGGTGCTGAGGTCCCTTTGCTGGTGTCTGTCAGGTCCCTGCAGTTATCAAAGGTTCAGTTCAGCCAGGAGCTGTCCCAGGAATTATTGTGGACTCTCAGTGTCCATGAATCTTGCCTCCAGAGGATGTTTGTAGGTGATGCTGTCTGTACCTGGCATTGATCCTCTGCCCTGAGCACTTGCTGCCAACTCCCCCCTGGCAGAGCTCCCTTTCCAAATCATCACAGAATCACTGAGGTTGAAAAAGACCTCCAAGATCATCAAGTCCAACCTTTGACTGATCCCCACTTTGTCACCAGCCCAGAGCACTGAGAGCCACATCCAGGCCTTCCTTGGACACCTCCAGGGATGGGGCTTCACCACCAATGATTTGGGTTAGGAGGTCCATAAAAATCACCCTGTCCTACCACCCTGCCATGAGCTGGAACATCTTCCACCTTCCCAGGTTGCTCTAAGCCCTTTCCAACCTGATCTTAAACACTTGCAGGGATGGGACAGCCCCAGCTTCTCCGGGCACCCTGTGCCAGGGCCTCCCCACCTTCAAAGGGAACAATTTCTTCCTAGGCAATCCTGAAGGAGCACTTTGATGTGGTGAGACTCTGGCCCTTGGAGCCCTGCACAGCCATTGCACACTGATGGGAGCATTTGTTCAGCAGTGTCACCTGGCCTGAGGAAGGTTGGAGAGGTTTTGCTCAGGTGTGGGAACACTCCTGAGCCCCAGACCTGCATGAACCCTCTGGTTCTGCATTTGGGAATGATTCTGGTTCTGGAAAGCTGCTCTTTCCCAAGGCCATGTGCTGCTCCCTCTCAACTGCCTGGCTTTAGTGTTTACAGCAATGAAAAGGATAAAGCCCCCAGAAATCCATCAGATTCACTTCAAAGCTCAGGCTCCATGAGAAGACCTCAATCCTTTTCTTCTCCAAAGGGAAAGCAGTGGGAGCTCCTGTCTGGAGTGTGTGGTAACGATCCAACTTGCCAATGTGTGAACAATCCAAATGTAAAACTTCTCTGGGGAGAAACTAAACCAGGGGTCACATCCAAAGGGAAGGCTCAGAGCTGTCCTGTGGCAGCAGCAAGTGGATGGGCACCCCAAGGATGAGCAGTGTCTGCTGCCAGGGCTGTAGTGACAGCAAGAAAACAGAATTATCCCAAATAGCTGCTCTGTGTGTTTCTGCTGGGTAACACAGGATTGGAGTTGTGCTGGCACTGGGAAACTGACTGTGATGTTCTGGAGTAGAGGTGAAAAGCTCAGGACCAAGTGGCACCACTGGGCAGCTCTGGCCGTGGAGCAGCCCTGGTGGCTCTGCTCTGGGCATTGCCGTGCTCAGCTGAAGAGGGAAGGGCTGGATGTGCTGCTCCAGGCTGGAGCAGCAGAGCAGGGCAGCTCTCTCTGCATCTGCTCCTGTTCACAGGTTGGGAGTCTTCGTGTAGGATTAAGAAAGGCTGGAGGAGCTCAGCCACTGTGCTGGTGGGAACAGCAGTGCTTTAAATAGAGGAGTCTGAGCACTCACATCGTGTCTGGGTGCAATTCAAAGATTTGCAGTACCTTGGTTGCCCTCCTCTCACTTTGTTTGGCTGATGTAGGCGTATTTTTGTTTTTACTCGCTTCTCTGTCCTATATTGTCCCTTTTCTTTCCAGTAATGTTGACTGCTCCATCTGCTTATTTATCAGCCCCAGTTCGAACGCGAATTTCAATTAGCAATCTGCTTTGTTTAGTTTTGTTTTAAACAAGGCATTGAGAGCTCCAACAAAGCTTTAATACATAAAGCTACTTGTAATGCAGCTGTTTAAGCTCTTCCATCATATCCATGAACAAAATGAATTCTACTGCTATCAAGATTCATCTGATGAATTAGGTTTAATCCTCCTCTACTGTAGCAGATGGAAGGCACTTCAACAAAGACAGAAAGATTTCAAATGACTGAGATGGAAAATGGTCTTTGCTCAGGTGCTTCAGAGACATAAAAGAGACTCAAACCTCATGTAGTAAGAAATAATTCATCCAGCAACCAGAAAAGCAGTCCCTGGATTTCTGCACTCATTCCTGATCCTGATGCTTCTCTTTTGGGTCTGAGGTCACAAGTTATGGGTGTGGAGGCAGAGAAGAGGGTGACTACCTGTACAGGAGCATCCCAGGTGGGAATGTGATTCCCTGAATCCCACCTATCCTGGTTTGCAATACCGTGTGCCTGAGGCCCTGCCAGCTTCTTGATCATCGGATGTGGACAACCAGGATCCCTCACAGGAAGGGCTTCTCTGTCGTGGTTGTGTTTGCTAAATGAGGATTTAATTGCTGGGAGTTTGGGGTGGACTCCAAACCCGACATCACAGAGTGATTTGGGTTGGAAGGGACCTTACAGATCATCCCATCCCATCCAATCCCTGCCATGGCAGGGACACCTTCCACTGTCCCAGGCTGCTCCAAGCCCCATCCAGTCCAGCCTTGGGCACTGCCAGGGATCCAGGGGCAGCCACAGCTCCTCTGGGCATCCTGTGCCAGGGCCTGCCCACCCTCACTCACTTCTTAAGAACAATTTCTTTCTAAGATCTAATCTAAATTTCTCCTTTTTAAAACTGCTCCCCCAATCATGTATCCTTTCAACACCCTGTCAGTAGCAAATGTGTCTGAATTTCGTTTAGGTGTGATTAAAACAAAGCCTGTGCTGAGCTGAACGGGTGCATCCCCAGCACCATAACTCAGCAATTACCGTGCCCAGCACTCTGAGGTAACAACAATCCCACACCTGGCACGCCGGGCAATGGAAAAACAGCCCCGCGGGTCAGGTAACGGCTCCGTGTGCCGGGCAGGCTGTTCTCGGGTGTAAAACGATCCCTGCCCAGCGTCCTCCGCCGCGTGTCCTCCATCCCGAGTGCGCTCGCCATGCTGGGATGGAGGGAAGCTGCGGGAGCTCTGGGATGGACGCGGTCCATCCCGGGAGGGCTGAGGAAGGGTGCCAGGACTTTCCATCCCGCGCAGCTCCCACCTGCGCGGGCTCCGCTGTGCGCTGAGCGGCGGGCAGGGCTCGGTGCGCTGATGAGCGGGCGCGCTAATTGCGGGTCCCGCGGGGGCGGGCGCTGGGGCGGGGCGGGGGGGTCCGGTCCCGCCGCCGGGGCCGCTCTGTATAACCCGTCTCCCGGCAACGGCGGCCGCGTCACTTCCTGGGGAGCCGCGGGCGAGCGCACGGACAGGTGGAGCGGCGGGGCCGGCCGGCACCGGTGCTGCCCGGGGGGCTGCGCTCCTGCCCCGCCCGGGTCCGCTCCTGCCCGCCTCGGGTGCGCTCCTCCCCGGCGCGCCCCGGTCCGGCCGCTCCATCCTCCGGTGCGGTTCTGGTGCCGCGGCGATGAGCGCGGAGCTGGACGGCGTGTCCGTGCACTCCTCCTCCTCCTCGTCGGGCTCGCTGGGCTCGGCGGCGGGGCCGGCGCCGCGGCCGCTCTCGGCGAACGTGCGGCGGCTGCACCAAGCGCTCACGGCGCTGCTGAGCGAGGCGGAGCGGGAGCGCTTCATCCTCTGCCTCAACGCCTACCACGGCCGCCGCAACGTCTGCGACCTGGTGCGCTCCCTGCGCGCCCTCCTCGACGGGCCCCGCCGCCGGCAGCTGCTGCCGCTGCTGCGCCTCGTCCTGCCGCGCTCCGACCAGCTCCTCTTCGACCAGTACACGGCCGAGGGGCCCTACCTGCCGCCGCCCGGCCGCCCCCCGCCGCCCCCCGCCCCGCCGCCGGTGGTCCCGGGCGAGCTGCGGCAGGTGACGCTCCGCCGGAGCAAAGCCCACGAGGGTCTGGGCTTCAGCATCCGCGGCGGCGCCGAGCACGGCGTGGGCATCTACGTGTCGCTGGTGGAACCGGGCTCTCTGGCCGAGCAGGAGGGGCTGCGCGTCGGCGATCAAATCCTGGGGGTCAACGGCAAGTCCCTGGACAGGGTGACCCACGCCGAGGCGGTCAAGGTAAGGCGGCTCCGCTCCAGGCTCCGGGGGATGTTTCCTCCATCCCGCCTTGTCCCGAGCTCCGCTGCGCGCCCCGTCCCGCTCTGCCTCTCCGGTGCCTGTCTGTGTCTCCCCGCTCCTCCCTTCCCTCCCTGGGTCTTATCCCGTCCATCCCCGTCCCTCCCCGGCTCCATCCCCGTCAGCCGCTGGGACCGGAGCCCCCCGGTGCCGCTCCCCGGGACGCGGCGCTGGGAGCCCGCAGCCCTCGGCGGAGCGGAGCCGCTCCGGGTTTGCATCGCGCCGGCGACACCGTGCGGGACCAGCCGTGCGCGGAGCCCGGCCGGAAAGTTTGCGGTGGCGATAGCGGTGCCACCCACGGCAGGGACCGGGCTGCGGGGGTGGCTCCGGGCACGGCAGGGTCGTCCTGCGCTTTGGTCGCGCCTCTGAAATGCAGCGGTGCCTGCTCGGGGCTCGCCTGCAGCCTGGGAAGCTCGTGGAAGCTGGAAATCTGCGTGAGCCGGGTTTTAAGGGACGTACTCCAGCCGCTCTAGTGGGTTTCTCCTTGCAAAGATAGGGAAACTGAGGAACGGAGAAGCAGAACAGACCCCCCCAAAGGCTGCCCGAGGCAGGAGCAGATCCCCGATTCCCCTTTGAATGTTCCAGGGGGAGAAGGAGAACGGTTACACAACTGAACTGAGGGCTCCCGCTCTCCCAGCACGGCTCCACATGCCCTGGAGACCTGTTGTAGCCCATAGCAGCATGGGGGCTATCGATAAAAGCTGTAATGTGGGGGGAGAACTCCATAAACTGTGGGATTTTCGCCTGAAACGCGAGGTTCTGAGGCAAATCCAGGTCTGAGTGTCCCAAGCCGTTCCCAGAGCTGATCTTGTGGCCGGTGGGCTCTGCTCGGAATGTTCCCGAGGCACAGACCTATCGAACTGGAGAATCGACTTTTAGAGCAGCAATTTGTAGGCAGCGTGTGGAGAGCTGGGATCTGGCGTGACTAGGCTGTTCTCCAGCTGTTTGTGCTTTAATTTTTCCATGATAAGCTAAAGTGGTTCTGTTGGGAGCCTGTTCCATGTGGAGCCTTCCTCTGACAGCACATTAATCTTGCACAGCTTTGAACACTTCTTCCCTGCCGACCTGTGTGTTCCCTGCCCTGGCTTTAAATCAGTGCCCTGGGCAAGGGCACGACTTCCAGGCTGGAAATGACTCCCTGGCAATCCTGACAGCAGAGGAAAGGTTTGTAGGAATTATTTTCCTCTTGTTCCTAATGATAGGACAACAGCAGGGTAAGCTTTCAGTTGTTAGTCTGCAATTTTGTGGCTTGGAGATTGCAAGCTCCACATATTTTGTTATGGCATTGGGATGGAGAGGAACCAGGTGTCAGGAATGCTCTACTCCATGACTTCATCTCCAATTCATCCCACTCTGCTGGGTAATTCACATCACTTTCTGTTTGTTCTCTAATATAATGTAATTGATGCCTTTTAGACATTATTAATTTTGAGTGAAACTAAGTGCTTCCTGCACAGAAATAATTCCTGGAGGACGTGGCTTGCCAAGAGCTATATTTTGTTAATATGATCCTGATAGGAAAAAGCAGCTTAGAAATTGTCTCCTTGTGAGCTGAACTTCTTTCAGCAACAAATTCATCACTTGCCCTCTGCAGGCACCTTCTTGAGCTCCTGGGTTCTTTCCACATCTAGGGGGGTTTTTATGACCCACGTCGTGGTGCTGGAAACATTTTGCTTGTGAAGAGTGGCAGAGTGATTTACAGTACAGCTCTATTAAATCCTTGTGAGGTTCTAAAATGAACCAAGTGTTAATTTGCCCTCAGATGCTCCATTTGGGAGGGGGGAAGTGAAGAGATCACCTTCAGCGATGCTCAAGGGCAGCATTTGAAGGTTTGAGGTACAAATACCTCAGCCCGATGTTTTGGGTGTCATTCAGAGTGGCAGAGCTGCAGGGACAAGAGGTGGTGATAGGTGATGGCTTCGTTTTGTGCTCTCTGCTTCCCTTTGAAACCTGGGGTCTGGGGCACTGACAGCTCTGCAAAGGCCCCTGGCTGTGGTGTCTGCCCTCCTGAGGCACAGCCAGCCTCGCTGTGTCCTGCCCTCCCCACTGTGGCTCTTGGTCTGCCCTGCAGTGGGGCAGCGTTGGATGGCCAACATCAGCTCTGCTGGTCAGAGCTTGGTGCTCATAACCCCACGACTGGGGATTTGATCCCTTTCTTGGCCGTCCACTCAAGAGTTGGACTCGATGGTCCTTGTGATGCCTTCCAACTCAGAATATTCTGTGACAAACCAGAGCTGGGTTGGTCCTGGAAGTCGTGCACACGCTGTAACAGAGAGAGACAAAGCTGAGGAGAGAGACTTCGTTAACACAAGCCCCTGGCTGTGTGGCTGATGTCTCAGACACTCTCAGCCCCAGAGGAGGGGCTGTGAGAGCTCCCCCGGCAGAACGCGTCTGATGGAGCTCAGCTCCGCTCCCTGCCGTGCTCGGGCTCCTCTTGCCCCGCTGTCCTGCGGCCAGCAGCTGTCTGCCCGGGGAGCCCCGCTGTCCGTCACAGGCACGGCGTGCCGTGCTGACAGAAGTTGTCAGAGCTCGTTCTTGGGGCGGTGCAGAGCTCGGGAAGGATCCCGGGCTGAGCGTGACAAACTTCCCGAGCCGCGGATGCGCTCGGTGCCCGCCGGGGTGCTCCAGGTGCCCGGCTGTGGCTGTGGCAGCTGCTCAGGCAGAGCAGGGAATAAACGCCAGGGCTGCATTTGCTTGTGCAGCCTTGGATGAGCGTTCCCACGGCAGCCACTGCCTTCCTTTTTCAAGTCGTGCTGGCTCTGTTGCCTTTCCGTGCGTGTCTGGCCGTGCAGGAGAAGCCCAGCTGCTTTTATGCCTTCTCTCCAGGATACTGGCAGTGGGGTAGCAGCAATTTCTGTTCACTCCTGGAATTTTCAGGCATCGCTCGGTGATGCACCCAAAGTGAATCGTGGCAGCAGATGAGAGCTGCCACAGCACTGGGCTAAGTGACCCGTGTGATGTCCCAGCCCAAAACTCACTGCTGGCCTGCCACCACTGCACTGCTGTTTGCAGATGTTTCCAGTGTAAATTAGATAAAAAGTGCCATTCTGACTTCAACCACAAGATTACCTCAGCTCTCCAAATCAATTCCCTTAATGACCAGCTCCTTAACCTTTACGTGAGCACGGGAGTTTTATGCCTTGTCTCCTCTGAGCTTGGCTGTGCCATCCAAACCCAAATTAAATGACTCCATTACAATTACAGCTCCATCATTGCAGCATTCATGAGTGCACTTTAGCAAAAGATCACCAGCATTTGAATTATGGGGTAAGTGGAGAAGTTTGTGTTGTCTGCCATATTTTTAGAGCTCGCTTGGCTTTTATCAGCCTTGCTATTTAGGGCGTTATATTATGTCTATACACTATATATATATATATATATATATATATATATATATTTTACTATTTATGGTGTATATGCCGCTATATTTGAGCATATACTGCTATATTTTAGCACTTGTACTGAAAGTTTGTATTGATAAGCTGTCATCTTTTATCCAGAGGACTTAAACAAGGTGTTTGTGGCTTTAGACCATCAAAATTACCAGGGAGGTGTGTTCTCAATGCTCTGGGGTTGGCATTAAATTCCCACTCCTTTCTCCCCCACCCTTTACCTTTCTTGCTTTGCTGTAGGTTTTTATGTCCTTTGAATAAAAAGACATTTAGGGAGGGAGGGGATAAGAGAAAGTGAAAAGTGGAAAAATCCCTGATTTAGGATTTGTCTTAATGAGCTACACCAGCCCTGAAGAGCTGCACTGGTCCCACCACTCGCCCAGCTGTTCCTGCTGACAGCTGGGCAGATCTGGATCAGCTTAAGCAAAATCCCCAAAACTCCACTAATTTGGATGTGCTGGGCTTGGGGAGTCTGGTTCTTTGGTGTCTGTGTAAATCTGTGATGGCTTTGCCAAAGTCACTGGGCTGGAATTGAGTTTATTCTGGAGGAACTGGAGTAGTTAAGGGCCCTGGCTTGGGTTTTTCATCTGTGCAGAGAGGCTGGAGGGGCTGGGGAAAGCTTGGGATGAGGCTGACAAGGCAGAAGGGTCCGGGATGTGGCACTGCCAGCCTGTCCTGTGTCCCTGTGACAGCCCTGCCTGGGAAGGGAGGGAGGGAGGGGGATCACATCCAGGGAGTCTCCTCCTCTCCCTGACCTGTGAGGGAAGGGGATTGCTTCAGGGGTACCACATCACACCCCACCCTGGGATAGAGGGGGATCTCATCCCCAGCCACCCCATCTCTGTTACAGCAGAGCTTTTCACTCCATCCATCCCTCCCATCTCCTGCTCTGATGGAAGTGTCAAGTGGGCATTTAAAAATAATTAAAAGGAGATTAAAATTCCTTTTATGTCCTATTACTGTGGGTTTTCCCGCTGGCAAACAATGTGATCTCTTCAGAGATTGTAATATTTCATAAGAAAGGACCCCAGGTGTGGGATTGCCAAAAGACCTCTGAGAAACGACAGCAGAGATGTGCAGCCCTAAGCCTCAAACATATTGAGAGCCATTTTTCTTTCCAGCCTGCTTCCAATAAAGCAAATTTCATGTTGCTTTTTCTTGTGATGCCCAATAAATTGATCACCATGACCTGACACTGCTTATTTAATCACCACAGCACTGGGGGCACTGCTCAGGGCAGTGAGTGCAGCTTGGTTTGGTTGGGTTTTGATCCTTCCAAGTGCTTGGAGCTGCGGCTGATCAGCCAGAGCAGGGCTGGGGTGGCTGAGGGGTGCAGGCAATGCATTGATCTCTGGTTCTGTGAACACTTCAGCCCTGTTCCTTTAACTGCTGCGTGCCTATCACAGGCTCTGTGTTTTTAGAAGGCACCAAAGAAAGAGGCTTGAAACTTCTCCCCTTCCCCAGGGAGCTGGGGGAGCTGGAGCATGGAAAAGAAGGATGTGACTAGCATCCACCCCAATAGTTAGAGTGGAAATTGCTTCCTGCATCTCT